GCCAATACATTTTTGACTGGACCTGTTGTTATTGTTGCACATTATTTTGGACTTGAATTTTGTATTAGTTTTTACTTGAAGCTTTCCCCATTTAATCAATTATATAGAAGTTTTTACTTTTGCAACTCAAAGCTGACAAATAAGCTCTTGAACAGGCATTTATTCCAGCTTTATTTGCTAGAGATGTTGTAAATGAAATGAGTGGATTTGGGTTGTGATTTACATTTGCTGTTCTACAAATAAATAATATTGATGCAATAAAAAGGTTGTGGTTGTGCCCATTTAAAGAGTTTTTTTTTTTGAGGACCAATGTTGTACTGAGTAGCATTTAAAAATTCACTCATATTGGATTGACAGTTCTGTGCTGAACTTAAAACTCAGGTTGAGTAAAATCTTAAGTCCTGAAGCTGCACTGTAAAAAAAAATCAAAAGTTGAGAACTCAAAAATCTGCTGAAGCTGGTTGCCTTAAACTTTTAAGTTTGTAACTTCTGAATTTTTTTTACAGTGACTTCAACTATCAAGTTTTGTAAACTTAAATTTCTAAATTATAAAAACTCCATATTTCTAGTCAACTAAACACAAAATTGGAAGTTTAACTAAGTTTGCTTAACTTAATATATTATGTTGATTAAACATGCACAAAAGTTTGTTGAACTAATTGACCTTTAAGTTGAGTAAACTCAAAAATCTGCTGAAGCTGGTTGCCTTAAAATTTGAAGTTTGCTCAACTTCTGATTTTTTACAGTGTGGTGGTGACGTCAGAGGAAGCGTTAGATGAGTGCCATCTGTAGCCGGGCTCTTCATAATGACATACAGGGCACTCGTCTACAATATTTAAGGTCAAAAATGGCCAATAGACTTTCATTTAAAACATGTTCTATAGACATAAGAATGATCTTAATCATTTTTTTGTTGCCTTATCCTTTTCTAAGTGATGCGAGGCAAGGTAAGAACAAGGTTCATTCATTTCTGTGCACAGCACTTCCTTCTGATCTACATGACTCAGCTACACTGAAACTATTGAAAACATTTTAAGTTCAAGTTCATATTTAAGATGTTTTTAGCAAACTTAATTTTGCCTCTCATTTTACATATTGTGTATCGTGTTTTTATTTTTGTTTGTGTTTTCTATGTTCCTCAGAAAAACACTTCCTCTTCTACAAGTTTACAGCATTTTGCAAAGCAATCACGCTTCCTGAGTTCAAAGCTGTCGGTGTCTGTAATGGCAGACAGATTGCTCACTACAGTAATGAAGAAAGAGTTTGGATAAGATCTAGTCTGACTGCAGATAACTGGATTGGTAGACCTGCAGAACCAACTAAAGATTATGATTCTAGAGACTGGTTCCTACATCAGTTAAACACTCTGTCAAACTGCACAGACTCTCAGTGTTCTCGTGAGTTTCATGCTTTAGTCATCAATTATCAGGCATGTTATGAAATGTCTTGTGTTGTTGTGAGTGTTGTTCTGTGATTGTAGAGCTCCATGTTCTTCAGAGAATGATTGGTTGTGAACTGGAGAAACTTCCTGATGGAACAGTGAGTCTGAGAGCATTTGATGAATATGGATTTGATGGAGAGGATTTTATGGTCTTTGATTCTGAAACTCTGCAGTGGATTGATAAAAACCCCAAAGCTAAAGAAACCAAAATGAAATGGGATCAGCAAACAGAACGAAACCAATTCCTCAAGCAATACCTGAAGACCTGCACTGACTGGATCTCCACATTTAACAACACAGATAAGAGTATGTTTAAATCAGATTTTGACACAACTCAAGGATGTTTGTTCTAATTCTGTCTCGATGCATAGGCGATTTATCATCATCCACTTACAAATAATTACTAATGAGTTGAAAACAGTGTGGGAATTACACCGTGACCATCAGGGGTCTCAGAGCACGTGGGTTGGGGTGTCCGGTCTAAATTACTATAATTTTAAGTGTGTAATGTTTTATGCTTTAAATAGGACTGTCAAGCGATCATTTTTTTAAAAATATAATTAACTAGCCTACATGATGTGCCGATTAATTAATTAAATTGATCACATTTAAAATTATTGTGTTAAACTGAAAGCACTGACTAGACATTACAAAAAAGTAGCTTTAGAAATACATATTTTTAATTCAACATACAAAAAAAATTAATATTGAAATATGAAATGATTTTAAGACAGAAATTAGACTCTAAATATGAAACTAAAAGCACCAGTAGGTGGCAACAAATGCTGTCTTAATGAGTGCCATTCATTCAATCAATCAATCAATCAATCAATCAATTATTCATTCAGTCATTCATTCAGTCATTCATTCAATCAATCATTCATTCATTCAGTCAGTGCGTCATTCATTCAGTCATTCAGTCATTCATTTATTCAATCATTAATTAATTCAGTCAGTCAGCCAGCCATTCATTCATTCATTCAGTCAGTCAGTCATTCAGTCAGTCATTCATTCAATCATTCGTTCGTTCGTTCATTCAATCATTCATTCATTCACTTAATCATTCATTCATTAATTCATTCATTCCGTCATTCAGTCATTCAACCATCCATCAATCCATTCATTCATTCAGTCATTCATCCATTCGTCATTCATTCATTCATTCATTCATTCAATCATTCATTCATCCATTCAGCCATTCAGTCAGTCATTCAGTCAGTCAGTCAATCATTCATTCAGTCATTCATTAATTAATTAATTCATTCAGTCATTAAATCATTCATTCATCCATTCAGCCATTCAGTCATGTATTTATTCATTCATTCATTCAATCAATCATTAATTCATCCATTCATTCAATCAGTCAGTTAGTCAGTCATTCATTCATTCCTTCGTTCATTCAATCAGTCATTCAGCCATTCATTCAGTCAGTCAGTCAGTCATTCATGCATGCATTCATTCATTCAGTCATTCATTCAATCAGTCAGTCAGTCAGTCAGTCATTCATGCATGCATGCATGCATGCATTAATTCAGTCATTCATTCAAGCGTTCGTTCGTTCGTTCGTCTCTCTGTCTGTCCGTCATTCAGTCGTTCATCGTTCATTTATTCATTCATTAATTCATTCTTTAATTAATTCATTAATAAAATCATTTACTTATTCATTAATTTATTCAATCATTCATTCATTCAGTCAGTCAGTCAGACAGTCATTCAGTCATTTATTTATTCATCCATTCATTCAGTCAGTCATTCATTCATTCACCCATTAATTAATTAATTCAGCCATTCATTCATTCAGTCAGTCAGTCAGTCAATCAGTCAGTCAGTCGGTCAGTCATTAATTCATCGATTCATTAACTCAGTCAGTCAGTCAGTCATTAATTCATCGATTCATTAACTCAGTCAGTCAGTCATTCATTCAGCCATTCATTCATTCAATCTTTCATTCATTCATTTAATCAGTCGTTCCTACATCAGTTAAACACTCTGTCAAAATGCACAGACTCTCAGTGTTCTCGTGAGTTTAATTTACACATTAATGGTCAGATATGTTATGAAACTGCATATATTAATCTACATGTATCATGAGTGTTGTTCTGTGATTGTAGAGCTCCATGTTCTTCAGAGAATGATTGGTTGTGAACTGGAGAAACTTCCTGATGGAACAGTGAGTCTGAGAGCATTTGATGAATATGGATTTGATGGAGAGGATTTTATGGTCTTTGATTCTGAAACTCTGCAGTGGATTGATAAAAACCCCAAAGCTAAAGAAACCAAAATGAAATGGGATCAGCAAACAGAACGAAACCAATTCCTCAAGCAATACCTGAAGACCTGCACTGACTGGATCTCCACATTTAACAACACAACTAAGAGTATGTTTAAATCAGATTTTGACACAGCTCAAGGATGTTTGTTCTAATTCTGTCTCGATGCATAGGCGATTTATCATCATCCACTTACAAATAATTACTAATGAGTTGAAAACAGTGTGGGAATTACACCGTGACCATCAGGGGTCTCAGAGTACGTGGGGTGGGGTGTCCGGTCTAAATTACTATCATTTTAAGTGTGTAATGTTTTATGCTTTAAATAGGACTGTCAAGCGATTTTTTTTTTTAAATATAATTAACTAGCCTACATGATGTGCCGATTAATTAATTAAATTGATCACATTTAAAATTATTGTGTTAAACTGAAAGCACTGATTAGTCATTACAAAAAAGTAGCTTTAGAAATACATATTTTTAATTCAACATACAAAAAAAATTAATATTGAAATATGAAATTATTTTAAGACAGAAATTAGACTCTAAATATGAAACTAAAAGCACCAGTAGGTGGCAACAAATGCTGTCTTAATGAGTGCCATTCATTCATTCAGTCATTCATTCAGTTAGTCAGCCAGCCATTCATTCATTAATTCAGTCAGTCAGTCAGTCAGCCAGCCATTCATTCGGTCTGTCGGTCGGTCGGTCGGTCGTTCGTTCGTTCGTTCGTTTAATCATTCATTCATTCACTTATTCATTCAATCATTCATTCCGTCATTCAGTCATTCATTCAATCATCCATCAATCCATTCAGTCATTCAGTCATTCATCCAGTCGTCATTCATTCATTCATTCAGACATTCAATCATTCATTCATCCATTCAGTCAGTCATTCAGTCATTTATTTATTCATTCATTCGTTTAATCAATCAATCATTCATTCATCCATTCATTCAGTCAGTCAATCATTCATTCAGTCATTCATTAATTCATTCATTCATTTATTCGGTCATTCAATCATTCATTCATCCATTCAGCCATTCAGTCAGTCATTCAGTCATTTATTTATTCATTCATTCAATCAATCAATCATTAATTCATCCATTCATTCATTCAGTCATTCAGTCAGACATTCATTCATTCAGCCAGTCATTCATTCATTCAGTCAGTTAGTCAGTCAGTCATTCATTCATTCATTCAATCAGTCATTCATTCAATCAGTCAGTCAGTCAGTCAGTCATTCATTCATTCAGCCATTCAGCCATTCATTCATTCAATCTTTCATTCATTAATTTAATCATAACTTGAATGATTTTAGCAAATGGCTGCAATATTGTTAAGAGTGAAAATTTTAAGGGGGTCTGAATACTTTCCGTACCCACTGTACGTATAAGATCCTGTAACTTGAATAATCATGATTATGGTGCTAGCAATAATCCCAGGTTTAGTTCAGGGATCAAATATATAAGAGTTTGACACAGACAAAAGGTGCCTGTTTGTACGATGTGTTATGTTCAGTGTGCAATATCATAAATAAATGTCTGAAGTGTGAGTGTGTGTGTTTATGTACTGGACATGCTGCAACATGACATGAATATCTTCACCAATATCAGGCATTTCACGCAGCTCATATGAATGCAACGTGTGAAAACAAAATTTAAGACCTTTAAATATGATAATTAAAACTATTCTCATCTAACTGTCTTTGAACTAGGAGAAGTAGAGCCGAACCATACACTCTCAGAAAAAAAGGTACAAAAGCTGTCACTGGGGCGGTACCTTTTCAAAAGGTACACCTTTGTACCTAAACAGTCCATATTGGTACCTTAAAGGTACATATTAGTACCTAAAAGGTACAAAAGTGTACCTTTTGAAAAGGTACTGCCCCAGTGACAGCTTTTGTACCTTTTTTTCTGAGAGTGTAGATTATAGGCCTTATTTTTAAAATAAGGAAATGTATCTTTAAAAATTGTTCTGGAAAGCAAAACAAAAATACTAATAAAATCATGTAATGTTTAATATCAAGAGCACATGTGACATTTTGTATCATTATAAGCTAAAGGATAATCAAACCACGATAACAACTTTGATTATCAGTTAATAAAACTTTGTTAAACGTCTAATTCTTCAGCAAATAAAACATCAACAACCAGTTTCAGCGTCTAAAAGTAATATTAAGAAAATCACTGTTTTGCAAAGCAGTTTATAAAACTTTATAAACTGTCATAAAATCATTCTTTATTGTGAATGTTGTGTGTTTTTATATACACACTGAATACGGTGCATTGAATCAATGTGAAATTAAAGTGGACTCAATTTCTACTTTAATAATTCATATTTCTGTTATTGTGTGAATGATTCATCAATGCAAGTTAGTTTACGGAAAAAAAAATCTTGTTTTTCAATAGAGACACTTTTCATTTTATTTAAAAAAAACTATACATACTAGTGATGAGAGCATGATATGAGTGTGTTTTTAAATATATACTGTTGCCAATGAATTTAAATGAGGAAACGAACCTGTCAAGCAAGTATTTCGAGTCATTTAAACAAACAGGACACTCGTCTGAAATTTAAAGGACAAACGTGGTTCACATGCTCTCGTTTAAATATGTTTTATGTAGATATAAGAATTGTTTTTCCTATTTGTTTTTTCTTTTCCGCTGTTTTAAGCGATGCACAGCAAGGTAAGCGCAGTTTATTCGTTTCATAGTCTAACTTCTGATCGACAGATGCTTACAGACAAATGTAGACAATTCTATACGGAGCACCTAAGAAAAGAAAATAAGAGGAGAGAGAAAATTGTATTTCAGTGCGTTCTTCCGAGAATTTTTGCGAGAAAATCCAAAAACATTGAAATTAATTTTTTCTTCATCTTGCATTTTCACACGCGGTCCGTGGTTTTCATCTTATATTTGGGCAGTTTAACCACGGTCGCATATTGTTGTGTTTATACTACACTGTATAAAAATAAATAAATAAAAAGCAAAAAGTAGGCTACTTTAGGTAATTTTCCAGAACATTATCCAGTCATTTACGAACATTAAAGGGGTCACGGGATGCCCATTTTCCACAAGTTGATATGATTCTTTAGGATCTTAATGTAAAGTCTGTAACATAGTTTGGTTAAAATTTCTCAATGGTAGTGTAAAAAACCCCTTTTTTACCCTGTCAAAAACAGCTCTTTTCAGATCAAGCCGTTTTTGTAGCATTTTCCTTTAAATGTTAATGAGCTCTGCTGACTCCGCCCCTCTCTTCCGAGCCGCTCTCAGAGAGACTGTTTACTTTAGCCGCATTCTTCGTGAAACTTGCTAATTAGCACATTATTAGGAAAGGCGATTTGCAAAGATTCATTACAAAACATTATACTCCCTTCTTCTGTAGATGAAGCTGGATCACGAATGATTCTCGCGAACATAGACACATTTATGTAGATCGGGGGCGCATTCCCTTCAGAAACAAATGTAATCCACTGCGTCTTCAGAGGTTCAGATGTCGGGAGTAAATGACGACTGCTGTTCATTATTACATCCAACAACAGAACACCTCAATCGCTTAGGAGTCATTCTTGTCTACATCTGCTCCGGCGGTGAAACAATGGTGGACTGATGACAGTCACTCAGGGCGGAGCTAAGGTAAGACACCAGTCCAGTCTGTACTGAAACGCTACTGTCAATCAAACTGTCGTGGGAGGGGCCTGTCTGTGTGACGTCACACAGACAGGCATCTGAGATCGGCTCGATTTGAGAAAGGGGAAAACATTTAACCAGATTTTAAAAAAAACACTGGGTGGATTTTTATCATTATAGGGTGGTTGTGTACACACACTGCCAACACACATTTCAGTTCAAACTACTTGTAAAAGTGCATGTAGCATCCTATGACCCCTTTAACTCAACGCAATGAAGTAAAATGAAAAGTACAGGTAAAACACCAGTAAAAAAAAAACAACAATCCCTACAGAAAATTCCCTCATATTAATAAAATACATTGTGCCCTTTATTTTTTAATTTTTTTAATAATTTTTTTTTTTAGTGTAGTGTACTGTGACAGGCAAGGCTGGGAATTTCAAAAACAAATATCCTCCATCTAGCGCATGTTTACCTATATCGTTTACATACAGTATGTGTGGACTGGCCCCAACTCTGATTAGTCCTGTTTACTAGTCCGCTAACTAGACAAATTTCCTTTGTTTGTCTGATTTAAAAAATGTGAAAAGCAGACCACGGACCTATCTAGCCTTGTTGGATGAATTTAGGAAAACACTTACAGTATATTAAAGATATTAAAATAACGCTTCACTGGTTTGTTATTTACGGAGCCCCGCACATGGCATGCAGGAAAAAAAATAGTAGGTTAAATCGTGTGCACGATTTACTATTTTGTTCCCTCGATTTATACATTGTGTGCATGATTTACTAGTTTGTTCCCTTGATTTATAAATTGTGCGCACGATTTACTAGTTCGTTCCCTCGATTTGCTAAATCGTGCATACGATTTATAAATCGAGAGAACAAATTAGTAAACTGTGCGCAAGATTTAGCAAATCGAGGGAACGAATTAGCAAATGGAGGGAACTAAATAGTAATCGTGAGCAGGTTTTAGTACATCGAGGGAAGGAATTAGTAAATCGTGTGCACGATTTATTCATTTTTTCTTGCATGTCATGTGCGGGGCTCCGTAGTTATTATTATAATTGACACTATCAATAATTGGAACTTGTCCATCTTTATGCACAAAATTAATTTGTTAAACAAACATGAACCTTAAATCAAATTAATTTTTTTTTAGGAATCTTATTCTTATTTGTAGATTTAACTTTTCATCATTCAATTTTCAGTGGGCTTTTTGAAGGCTAGTGATGCTATACTGTAAGTTACTATAAGTTTGTCCCTAGTAATCATGGTCTCCATCTTTCACACCGGTCTGCCGGTATATATGGCCGCATTTATTCATATAGATCAGTGCTAGCAGGACAAAAAGTGTCTCCTGTCATTTCTGTCTTTCTCAGAGAAGCACTACCTCCACTACATGTTTACAATCATGATCAAATCAGACACACTGCTAGTGTTCAGTGCTGTGGGTGAGTCTGATCACATACAGATCTCTCACTACAGCATTGAAGAACGAGTCTGGATGAGAGAGAATCTGACTGTAGACGACTGGGACAAAGCTCCTGAAGGACCACCTGAAACTAGAGACTGGTATCTAGACCTGATCAGGATTCTGTCAAACTGCACTGAGTCTTCTGGTGAGTTTAATGCTTTCCCTTCTTCATTATCAGACATGTTATGAAACTTTATTGGACTTTTTCACAAGGTGTCATGCATTGAACAAAAACAGTGTGAGTAGCCACAGTGTGTCCTATACTCACGTCAGTACAAATATGCATCGATTTAAGTTTCTCATCATTATTGTTCTGTGATTGTAGAGCTTTCTGTTCTTCAGAGAGTGATTGGCTGTGAGCTGGAGAAGCTTCCTGATGGAACAGTGAATCTGACGCCGATTGATGAATATGGATTTGGAGGAGAGGATTGTGTTGCCTTTAATTCTGACACCTTACAGTGTTCTGATAAAAGTCCAAATACCAAAATCAAGCGGGACCATCAAGTAAAACTTCAAGAATTCCTCAAGAACTGCCTGGACTGGATCTCCACATTTAATAACACAAAAAAGAGTAAGTTCGGATCAGATTCATTTAATGAGCTCCTGTCTTTGTGTGTGTTTGTGTTTTTGAACTTCAGGAAGCTGTTTCTAATTTGATACGGAGGTGATTTATCATTATTAAATGACAGGTCAGTAGTAATGAAGAGTTACAAATATAAAACTGTTGAGGACAGCATTATTCTCATTTGACTCATTATATTCTCATTTGAACATGGTTTTTATTTCATTTTCTGGGTTTGGGTTTTTCAACCGCAGCCCTTCACATTGTTAAAAAAACAACTAATTTGTTTAAATTATGAAAATAAATGAAAGCTATTAGAAAATCTGATCTTCATTTTGCAGTGAAGTAGCAGCAGAAGTTAAGTCTGTCACAATGGATCACATGCAGCTAACTAAGTTTCTTGATGAATAATTACAAGGATATTTATTTCACACATTGAGAAAGAACTCTTGATAACTGTTTTTATTGCATTATTATTATTTTCTGCTCCAGATTCACCGGATGTTCATGTGTTTGCGAGGAGAGCTCCTGATCACAGTAAGCTGGTTCTGATCTGTCTGGCCACTGGTTTCTACCCCAGAGATATTGAGATGAACATCAGATTGAACAGAATTAACATTGAGAGCCAAACATCTTCTGGAATCAGACCAAATGCTGATGAAACCTTTCAGATCAGATCCAGTGTGGAGATCGACAGAAAAGACAAAGGCTCTTTTGACTGTTTGGTCATTCACAGCAGCCGGACAGAACCAGTGTCCGTAGAATGGGGTAAATATCATCATACATGATGAGGATTATGATTTGGTGATTCGTAACGCTATACATCAAGGATGTATACATCAGCACATCACATGTAACATATATTCTATATTCATTCTAAATGAGGTATTGTGCATTAAAGGGGTCATCGGATGCTACATACACTTTTACAAGTTGTTTGAACTGAAATGTGTGTTGGCAGTGTGTGTACACAACAACCCTATAATGATAAAAATCCACCCAG